TGAGAGTTGTATAGTAAAGGTTTTGAGTCTCAAGATGGCGTCAATTTGGTATTCTAAGTGCCCGAAAGTCTAATTCTGTGAGTGTATATATGTGTGTGTGTGTGTATATATATATATATATATATATATTGATGGAAATAATATGAGTTGGGAAGAAAAACTGTATTTCAGTGCTTTTGCGAGTGCAGGGAAAGTTTCTTGAGAGGAACGCAAAACAATAAAAATATAATTTTTCCTCCCATCTCATATTTTTTTTCAATCACCATGTCCCCTTAGGGGCTCCACAGGCTGCTTATTTTCTAACGCTAATTGCGTGCACATTTGGGTGGCATTATGCTAATATTTCCACATAGTGAGGTAGATATGTGGGGGCGTGTTAGAACATGACGTTTTATGTAGGCGTGGTTGAGTCTTAACTTTTATAAAGAATATCTCTTTGGATTTGAGACTTTAGTCTTTGCAACTTTACAGATCTTCTTTATGCACCAAGAGCTTGTAACACTCCAAAGAGAAAGGAAAACTTGAAATCGCATCATATGACCCCTTTAATGTATTTATGTTAGTAGGTAATATATTAAGGGTGTGTGGGTAGTTAAGTGTGCTGAATGGAGGTTTGTTTGATTGACAGGTGGAGTGGGATAGTTTTTTGAGACGTCTGGATGTTCAGATGCAAATGAGCGACACAGTTCTTTCCCAGTGCCCTGCAGTCCAGACGCTCAGCTCAGATACACGGTTTATACACGTTCAGACTAAAGAGTGAGATGAACACATAATATCCTTACTATCCACATTCACTGGAAGCCACAATCCAGAACTGCTGACAGGGTACTTCTGTTGAAACAAATTGAAGGCCTGCAGCTGCAACAGTTTATCACTCTACATTATGACTGTGATTACAGCAGTGCCTCACTTATCGGGTCATACTGTATATTCAAAGTCTATAAGATGCTTTTAAATATTAAGAGGTTTCACAGTCGTTTTGTCAGTTCTGGATAGTAGTTTAAAATCAATTTCTAGCATTTTTGTGCATTTCTTATTATTATCAATGTTGAAAACAGTTGTGCTGCTTCATATTTTCATGGAAACTGTGATACTTTTTTCAGGATACTTTCATGAATAGAAAGTTTGATCGTTTTTTTTTTTTTAATAGAAATCTTTTGTAACATTATAAATGAATTTACTGTCACTTTTAATCAATTTAATGCATCCTTGCTAAATAGAAGAATTAATTTCTTTTGAAAACAAATCTTACTGATCCCAAACTTTTGAACAGTTATATATGGAAACATGTAAAATATGGACCATTTTAGTAAATGTATTAACTGGTCAGTGGACAATGGTGAATTAAACTTCCTAAATGCTATTTATTAGAAATATTGAACGTAGGTTAGAGAAATATTTCTAATCAGTTGAGAAAAAAGTATATATTGTATGTCAGGGACTAAACACACATAATTAATGAATGAATTTGTAATTACATTTTTCATGTGACTGTGTTGAATTTCTTTGAATTGCAGTAAATTCCTCTTCATGTCATTGTAATTCAAATTCAGTTCAGCGTCCTGTGGATTGTGGCTATTTCAGTTCAAATTCCAGCTCATGAATTGATATGGCATGTGTGAACTGTAATATACATTGTGGTTGTCCTGTACTCTTGTAGGAATGTGTCTCTGGGTCAGTACTTGGGGAAGGGAGAGAATCTCCTCCTTGTGTTGCTCCGGCATTTTGGATGACAGCCATGACGAGACCACCTGACTGAGCTGAAGGACAGCAAGGTAGAACAACCTGTCATTAAAGGAGATGAAAACGGCACAGCTGCAGTACAGTCAGCAGCAGACCTCAGCCATGTCTGACTATGGACGGTTGCTTGGAAAAGATCTTTCGAGCGCTTGTTGACCTAGCTGTGGACTTGGCAAGGCTAAATATTGTGCTGCTATTTTGTAGTGAACGTTCCAAAGTCATAATGTGTGTTCTTTGAATCCTCAACACTGTTTCTGGCTCTTTCTCATACAGAAGCTTCTGGAAGCCCAGTCATTGCGGGTGCTGGTGGTCTCGTATGGTTCTCTTGAAGGGGCAACGTTCTGGCTTGATCAGACAGGCTATGAATTTGACATGCTGTTGGATGCAGAGAGAGTGGTGAGGACTATTATCTATGCAAAAACATAATTAGTCCTTCTTTGCTTAAAGGGTTAGTTCACCCAAAAATGAAAATTAGTCCATAAATTACTCACCCTCAAGTCATCCTAGGTGTATATGACTTTCTTCTTTCAGACGAATCCAGTCGGAGTTATATTAAAAATTGTCTTTGATCTTTCAAGCTGTTTAATGGCACTCAGCGGGTGTTGCATGCATCAGTCCAAAAGAAGTTAAATAAAAATCGCCCATCCATTAAAAAAAGTCTCTCACACGGCTCCGGGGGGTGAACAAAGGCCTTCTGTAGCGAATCGATGCGTTTTTGTAAGAAAAATATCCATATTCAAAACGTAATAATCACTTTAATGTAGCTTGCGCCAGCAGTTGTACACGGAAGCAGCTCTGGGTGGATGACGTATGAGTTCAGCGTTGCGCATGCGCCGGTGAGTCTCGTGAAAACCAACGTTTGTTAACAGGAGCAAAGGAAGCAAAGTTTCCTAACTTTAGCAAAGGAAAACCAGTCTCCTCTTGGCTTATATCGAAATCCTCTGACATTCTTCTTTACAAATCCTCGTTTTGTACTTCTGTTTTGATCTCTCCCCTACACTTCTGAGCGGCGCATGTGCAAAGCTGACCTCATACGACATCCTCCCGGAGCTGCTTCCGTGTGGGAATGTTGGCGCAAGCTAAATTAAATTGATTATTACGTTTTGAATATGGATATTTTTCTTACAAAAACGCATCGATTCGCTACAGGAGGTCTTTGTTCACCCCCCGGAGCCGTGTGAGACACTTTTTTATGGATGGGCGCTCTTTTTATTTCACGTAATTTGAACCGAAGCACTGCAACACCCGCTGAGTACAACGATAGAGCTTGAAAGATCAAAGACAATTTTT